AAGAAATACATTGGATCGAACGGCTCGGTTTAAACACATAAATTGAAGGATCAAACAGACACGTTCGTGTGATACAGTCAAAACTAAAAATTAAATTTTTGTTGACGCAAAAAAAAAAGAAGAACAAAACGACAACTGAAACAGAAAACACTGTGTTCCGTGTTTAGTATACATAATCACACGATACTCCGATTGGACAGCAAGAGACGCAAACTTCAAAGCGAAGCTAATAAATTATTTATGCCGAAGAAAAATCACAGAAAACAAACAAACAAAAATTAAACGTTTTTGACAGTTGTTTTCAAGCCAAATTTCGATAAAGAATTGATCAGATTTTCGTGTATTTTTAAAGGCAAATACAAATTTATCTACTTTTAGATCGGCGTTTTGATTGGATTAAATTAATTAAGCGAACTATCAAATACAAATTATCAATTTAAATCGATAATAAATTTCGCATTTCATGTTCACGTTCGTTGAGAGCGATAGACTTTATTCATGTCAAATCACTTAATTATGTGAGAGAATCTGGTGTTTCTTAAGACAAATTGACAAAATAAAATCCAATCAATTGAATAATAAATATTTACTTCGAAATATCGACCCATCTCAGTTTCGCCTCATATATATATCACGCCAAATTCCAAACTAAAAATTATAAACATTACACGATATTTACGTGCGAATGGAAACTTCAAAAAACATTCAGATCCACTTATCTTTGTTTAAGTATACATACTCGAAAACGAAAAAAAAAAAAAACTGAATCAAAGAAGGAAATCAATGCAACAAACCAAATGGAAATGTATTTACATAATTAAATAGCAAGAACAAATGTGTTGAACCGACGTCAAATCCAAAACGAATGTACTTCAAATAGCTAAAAATACGAAATATATACGTGCATGTTCAATATTTTTTTTTTAATGCGTAAAATATATGCCTCTTTTGAATGCCATTTATTGATCATTTATGCTCACAAACTCATCAGATGATTTCTATGACTCAAAACAATTAAAACAGTGCGCGGCATTCAACAGATCTACTTATTTGGAATGATATTTGAGTGAAAAAAAGAGAAAGAGGTATATAAAAGGAAATGAGACACGCTCTGCTCAAAAGAACATCGTTTTGTTTGTATAACAAATGCGCTTTGTATGCACGTCAACAACTCCCCAAATTGAAATCAGTTAAATTTTCTCATCATGCTCTCGTTATTTGTTGAAGCCTGCCGTTGTTTTTGTTGTTTTTTTTTTTACGGTTTGGCCATAGTCTTCGGAGTTATTGCCGAGTGCCGTTGTCTTACAGAAAAGTGATTTCACACTGAACACCTTTTGGATAATTTCAATCAAAACGACTGATGAAAGTTACGCAACGCTATTCGATAAACTGAAAGAATGCCACCATAGATGGAAAGAAATAGGAAAGACCGAGAATGTCTGAGATAGCCAAGTAGAGAGAAAAAAATACACCAAATGAAAAATGTTTGGAATAGGATTTTTTGTTCTTTCGTTTGGTGTGTATTCTTTTTTCATTGAACGAAATAACAATGAAATATAGCACATAATGAATGTACGTGTGATGAGCGCGCACATCTTTGCGGAGGACAAAGCCTGCCGAACAATAAGCGTAAATAACTTCAGGTTTTCATCAAACAGTACCAAAGTGTGTACATACCGATTGGTGGTGTGTTTTTAGGAAACAATGATGAAGCGCAATCGTGTCATCGATTGCAATGACGCTGTCGACCATCCAAGATATAGTTTGGTAGATTTAGCATTCCGTGTCGATCGATTTACAGAAAAGAATTCAATTAAGAAAATTTTCTTGCAGGTCGTGCATGATTTTAAGCGTTGCGCTTCACCTTAAATACTCGAACTGAATTTAAATTCAGTATAGACAAATGTGTGAGCCATCATTATGCTCTAACCATTTCACACACACACAACAGATATTTGAAGCGACGTATTCACAGCATTCGAAGTGTTGATGATACGAAAATGACATTCTATAAAGTATGAACTATAAGATATTTTTCATGTGATGTTTAATTTATTACAACAACAAAAAATGATTTGCAAAACGAAACAAAACCACACATAGCAATTGTTATCCAATACAATTATTATATTTCAACCAGAAAAACAAACACGCACACACCATTTGTTGAATTCAGCGATAATTTGCTTCAAAGCCATTATTTTTTGACACATGCACGTTATAAGACTCCACCAAAATGGCCTTTATTTATTATACGAAGAGCCAATACATTTATCTAATATAGCAAGCGAAAAAAACTTTTTACCCAATTTTACCTCAAATCTACAAAATTGTAAGCAATTGCCACTTTCACATATGGTTGGTTTGAACGAATTTTTTGTATGTTCCCATAAAATCGCTCTCACGAGTGAAAATGTGTGCAGAGCACGATCGTTGGATTATGTTTTTTTTTTTGTTAAAACCCGAGCAACATTTCATTTTTTTTTCTTATTTTACTCATCGATACCATCGAATATTTTTCATCCAAAAAATACTTGTCAGATAAAAGTCAGGATATTCAATGGAATAATAATAGGTTCGCTTCCATTGTTCGCTTGAATAATGGATATGGAATGGAATGGAAGGTGTCGATGAAGACTAGAGTCGAAAAGGATTTAAGCCGAATAATATTCTCGTTTCTTTCATGTTTCGTATATATATATATATATATATATGGTTCGCATTGTGTTCGAACAAATGCCACATTTTCGTGCATGCATTTTCTACTTTTACCAACTCCCGACACAACAATATTCTCGCCTTGAATAATAAATATGAGAATTTTGTTCCCGTTTGGTGTTTGTTATACAGTGTGGAAGGTGTCCATAGTTCAAATATAAAAAAAAACATTTGAAAACAATAGCTACAAGAGCCACACGAATGCAGTCACCGTAATTAATCCGCGCGAACGAGAAACGGAATTTAAAAATAAAGCGCTTATAAAATACCCTTAAGAAATCGAAGAAAACGACAATATTCATGTGAGAATGTCACGACAGGAGCTATAGCACTATAGTGAGTAGTAGAGAAATATGGTTGGATGCACACATATACACAATATTTTTGTAATAACAATAAAATTAAAATCTGTTCATAAGTGCGGTTTTTATTTTCGTCTCTGACGTCCATAATTCAATCGCGTGTGTGGGTTCTTTTTCATTCGAAGAACTGTCATTTATAAGAATGAATTTTAACCAAAAATTCTGTTGGAATGAGAAATAAAATGTTACGTCTTTTCCTACTGAATTGGTTGACAGATTATTATTATTGGTAACCATATTTTTCGAGCGATGAGGAGATTTAGCGCTTGTCTATGTTTTAACCAATACATACACTTGGAATTTTTTGGGATGGGAAAAATATTTTCAATGAGATTAATTTTATTTAAGCTCAAATATTTGCTCGTGGCTAAGCATTAAACATACTATATATAGTATTGGTGATCAAGAAAAGTGTGAAATTAGAATCGTTCAATATGAAATGGGGAAAATTAATTGAATACGAGGATAAAGTGCCGAATAGTAAGTCTTTGCAAAAACTAATGCGTCGTTTCTGGGTCGAAAGTAAATATTTGTGTGCATATGTGTTCGAACGGAAGAAAATAGTTTGGTGGTAACGACGTCCTTATATTAATGAGATTCTTCGAATTTCAAATTTATTGTATAGGGGACAGTTTTTATTATTCAGTATGTTTCACAACCATAGATTTTGGGATGTTTTGGCATCAAACCGTATTTTTTTGTGTATTTTTTTTCTATTTCAGCTACCACAAACTGAATGTTTATTCGTTGACACAATTATTCTTATTCAGTGCGTGTATTGGCTTATTTTTGCTTTTGGTCTTTTGCTCTCTTTTTTTGTGCATCTGTTTAGCAACAAAAAGCATAGATTTGTTGTGTTTCAGTTCTTTGACGTATTTATAATTTAAAATTTTCTCAGGTTTCAACAAAATCCAATGAATATTTCTGCTAACTTAGTACATTCGAGATTGAACAGAGCTTCAAACTCGTACCAAATTTAGTTTCAACTGTAATACGTACAATATTTATGTGTAAATTGGACGATGAGGTGTTAAAATGATAAAACCAAATGGCTAACAGCATACGTGCTTTTAGCATGTTACCGCGATAACAAAAGGAGAACCTATATGAACAATGGCAGAGAGTGAGAGTAGTTGTGTAAACGAATGAGAAAAACATTAAGCCTCATAATATATTTCCAATTCATAGGAACGAGAATAGAATTGAATAACATGGATTTTTTCTTCTTTTTTTTTCGTTCGATTCCTCTTTCTGTATTATTCGAACGTTTGGTATATTGTATTTCATGGCTGTTGTTGTTGTTGTTATTATTTGTAAAGTGATAGTGAAATGTGCTCTAATACAAAAATGAATGGGAAAAAGTGCCAAACATACCAACAAACTATCAACAATGGTGTGCAAATTGAAACACCAAACAAACAAAAAATATTTGAATTACTTAAATGCGCTCTCATCGAGAAATAGTCAAACAACAATAAAAACTTCTTGTTTTTCATGTCAAAAAGTAAATGAAATCCACAAAAAAAAACCGAAACGTAAAGCGAGAAAATAGAAACATCGATTTAGAATAATAGTGAGACGCAACAGACTCTTTAATGCTGCTACTGCACTGTTGTTACTGTTTCCATAACCACAAATAGTCGTCACATCGTTTACTTTTATTTAAATCCAAATAATTCTAAAAAAAAACTGAAACCAAAAATTGAATATGGTTCACATTATGTGCAAAAATAGAACGAAATCGAGAATGGAATGAATCATTATTAATATGGCAGTGGATGCGAATATTTTTCTATAAAAAAAATTCGTAAATGGTCATTTCACTTTTTCCACTTTTTTTTTTGTAAAATAACAAAAAACAAAAGTATTTACGAGTTCATTAATGTTTTTCATTATTTTTGTTCTCTTCCATATAAATAGGCAGAAAACTTTTATTTTGGCGCGAAAATTACAACAGCGCTTGATAGTCTGGCGATCCTGCGAGTTTACAGGTAAATGAATGTGTTTATTTTCACATTGAATGAACAAGGAACTGTTTGAGACAGGTTAGGTTCGATATGCTTCGAAACCAGCAAAGTTAATTAAAAAAAAGCAACAAAGACACGGAAACGAAACAATTTTTATGTTTCGAAAACAAAAGAAAGTATTTGAGATATAAAATAGTAAAGAAAAAACAATAAAAATTACCCAATATGGACGTCCGTTGTGAAAAAGTTTCTTTGCCAATCTAAGAAAAAAAGAAGAAGTATTTGCGCTCCTTACATGTTTATGTTGTACAATTGAAAATTTCACATTGGCGATATAAATGGAAACCACACAAAGTGTGCACTCGTGATAATTAATTACAATCTAGCATTAAAAAAATGACATTTAGCTTAATTTGATTCGGCGAATTCGTCCCTTTTCGCTTTGCCAACCATTATTTCTTTCATGAATCTAATATATATACAACTTGAAAAAGAATCGTTTAAATTGTGAATTGAATGCAATAAAAAATGGTTCTTTTGCACACAATTTTCCATGTTGTCCATTCTTATCTTTCGGTAACTTTTTGTTCATACGTAACGAGTAAGGCCGATGGGAAAACGACAAGCGAATCGAGAAAAATCGTCAAATGGAAAATAATTGTTATCAAGGTAATTAGTTGAAGCGAAGTTACGGTGACAGTCTTTGACACACGGGCACAACAGACACCGTTTAACTAATGATGAACATTGAACACACAGTGTGCATGAAACAAAACTTTGCGGCAACACTCATACTTTGGCTGGATGAAACGGTTCGAATAAATTATGTATACCGGCCATTGAAATTGTGACACTTTTGTTTAGCGGTGAAATTTATTTCGCAGCTTGACGAAATAGAATTTTACTGGAAAAAGGTAAAATATGTCATATTTTTTCTGTATCTTCGTTTTTTCTTTTCTTCATTGAAAAATACTTTTTGCTAATCGCTCGCAACTTCGATTCACTTAACTTACATAAAATTTATAACAGAAGGGCAACAAAATGCAAGACCGTTTAATGCAAAACAACTGAAAAAAGGAATAAATTTTTTCTTTGGCATTACCGACTTTTTAAAACCTCTCCAACAACATTCGATGGGCTTGTGGGATTGAATTTAAAGCAATACACCGATATTTATTCGCCGCAGATTAAATCTCATCCACACAATTTTCAATCTCTTTGAATGAGTCGTTTCAAAATAGAATTAAGTGCGATTTTTTGGGCTGAACCATTATACACTCTGGTGTCAATCACACGAGATCCCGAAGTCGTTGCCTGTATTCTATACTTCAATTCTGAAGTTGAATTTTCAACTAAAAAACAAACAAAATCGAATCGATCCAAATTAATCATCTATGATATTCTCATCAATCTTCATTGCTCGCATTTCGAATAGTAGTGTTTGATAAAACAAAAATATACGAAATCAAAATTTTCCTGTCGAAATAAATGGCCATTCAATTCAAACAACAACAACAACAAAAACTATCGAAATAAGCAATCATATCACATCTATCACAGATGATGGACTATCGCGGACAATTAAAATCATCAATATTAAACTTTTGAAATATGAATGTTATCAAGTGGAAAAAAGAGCGATTTTTCTTTTTTGAGTATTTTATTTCTTTTCTGTCGTGCTGCGAAAGTGGCGATCGAAGTTATGAATACGCATTAGGAAGTTTCATAAAACGTTTGTCAAAATATTGGTTTGGGCCGAGTCACGACACAACTGTAGCAACTTCGTGTCCTCTTGAAAACTTGCAACCATTACGATCAACTTTTGTGATTATATATTTTCTTCTCGCATCGTTCATTGTCAAATTCGTCATCGCATATTTGCATGCCTATTCTCATGGGCTCGTAGCACTCTGTCTGTTTCTCTTCATCTCACTCTCGTTCAATTTACACTGGTAAGCGTAATGTCACGGAATAATATTTGTTTCCAATTTTATACACATGTATTCGCAAGCGCGAGGCTGCAATATTCAAAAAAACATTCATATAAACAGCCATAACAAACTTTGATTTTGAGTAGTATAGCACATACACACGAACCGTAAACCTATGGGACTCATAAAAACTTCGTACCGGAATTTATAAATTTTTTCTCTCTCATCATACTTCAACGCGGATATGCGTACTATTTTCGGTCATATTAAGTTCGATCAGTATGCTTTTAATACTCAGTGATTCCGGTTTGACGCTGGCATTGATTCTCATTTAGTGCTGTTTGGTGTTATTTAGACCTTCTCGGCTATTTCTGCTAAATTGTGATAAATGTCTATTGCCGTTATTCCAATTTCTATTCTGGCTCCCTTCGGTTTGGACGTAGTACCAAAGTTTTAAACGGATTTTTTTTATGCAACCACCATCACTACCGACGACAGCAACAGCGACAACAAGAAGAACAACGACGACTACGATAAATTTAATTTTTTTTCTCATAGATATTGAAACATTTCTATTCGTTCAGTCGTTCATACTCAAATTATCGATTTATACTTAACGCAAGAAGATGGAGAAAAAATCGAAAGAAAAAACTTTTCCCAGTTCCTACTTATTAAACGTACACAAACTTAAAAAAAAATAAAGAGATGAAATTGATTAAATTACACTTTTTCATTTTTGTAAGACGTCATATTTGACGCATTTGCTTTGTAATTTTGGAGAATGTGTTCGAAACTTTCTGGGTGTGGTTTTATTCAACTTTACACTTTTGATTTACACGTATATTTAAAATAACCGAGCTCAAAATTATTGTACAATAAAATAAAATGTTTTTTTTTTTAATATTTTCACTTCGATATTGGGGAAGAACAATGTTTTCGGTACACCTCGCTTGGTTACAAGTTGTTACTTACCACAAACACTATCAAATGGTTATGACAAGAATAAAACCGATTCATTTCAGAAGCTGAAACTTGTTTTTTTGTTTTCCGTTCAATTTTCATATGAACGTGCGCGCAATAATCATAACTGATGGTGTGTGTGTGCAGAAAAAGCAGAGCAGAAAGAAAATCATAGTCATACTTCCCTATTCTTCTGCTTTTCCCATTTCTTTTTTAAGCCAAAGTCATCGTCATCGTTATCATCGAGGTCTACGTAGACTAAGACACCAACAATCATTGATGGAATGAAATCACCGCTGTTTGACGTTAAAAAAAAGTAATTCATCGTCTTTAACTTCTTGCACAAGTAAACCAAGCAAAATTATGATAAGTCGGATGACGGTGGTGGCGTCGACGGCAGTGATGGAGCGAATGGGAGTTTGAATGTTGATGAAGAAAACTTCGAAATCGTCTGTATGGTGGTGCGTTAGGTCTTACATCGCATTCTCAACAAAATCATTCGTTTTAATTTTTCTCAATTTTACTATATATTTTTTTGTGTTTCGTTCAGCACTCTACATTTGGTGCTCAGCAATCGCACCAATGCGGCAATCTCAACAATTGGACTTTTCGTTTTATTTAATTTTTCAACTGCAACTAGCGTCGCATTAACTGAATACTATGCAATTTTCTTAAGTATTTTCAATCATTTGAGATACAAACGAGCAAAACGAAAAATGCAAACTTTGCAAATGCAAGAGAAACAAACAACAACTTAAGCATATTGAGTACCATCCCCAGTCAATATTTCGTCTCCGTTTCTGTCTTTTTCCTTTCATTACAGTAACGTTTTTAGCGACAGCAAGTGAAAATAATAAAGCAAAGAAACTAAGAATGTAAAAACAAACGGGCGAAAGAGAAAATCGTAAAGAAAACACAGTGGTTATGTTTACCTTTTCGGGTGGTGTTATAAATACATTTATTATGTATGCTGTTGTGTTTCGTTCTCCGAAAGCTGTTGAGACAGAGAGAGAGAGAGAGAGAGAGAGAGAGAAAGAGAAACAAAAATGAAGAGAAAAGTAAAAAAAGAAACACAGAAGCGCTCATCAAAGGCAACGGCGCTGTGCAAACAGTCAGCATCTCAATTGATGAATTGTGTAGAATTTTTGAATGAATTCCCACCAACAAAAGAAAACGTTTAAAACGATAAAATCGGAATTTGCTTGAGCAAAATATCAACTTGAATTACCGCGCATTGCAATAATGTTTTGTAGAGTTTGCTTGATGGCATGTTGTATGCGTTCAATCTTTGTACGAAAATCATAGAACATGGAAGAAATGCAAAGAAAAAAAAATAAAATTCGTTTTCTTTTCATCATCATCGACTTGTTTTACACAGAAAAACTGATGAAGCAAAGCAAAACGAGAGCGGGTGCGCTCAAAAAAAAATATATCTATATTGAATCAGTCATTTGAACGTCTTCGTCATATTTTCGTTTTTCATCTTAAACTGCAATCTTTTAGCTCTCACAATTGGTCGCTGAATCGCATCAGAACAGAAGCAGTTTGTATTTTATTTGCAATCACAACGATTTGGAAATATTGTAAGATGGGACTCTTACTCTTACAATTTGTCCAACTTTTTAAATTGCTGGCTTTTGTGTTTGTGCACTTGAATTTCAAGATAGTTAAAGCAACATCAACAACACCAGAGTCAGCAGCGCCAGCTTCGGCATCAGCATCAGCAGAATATTTATTTAAAATAACTTATTGCACACTTCAATAAACAATGAACGTAATCATTGGTGATCTTTTCTTGCCGGTCCCTTGGGATTTGTGTCAATTTTTAGTTGGCTACTATTGGTTCGAGTGAATGTGTGTAATTTGTGCGCGAGCTCAAAAAATCAAGTAAATTGGCATCGGCTAAAAAGAAAGTAATTGAATGGAAGATCTAAACCAAGAATAGATTTCCGTCGTGAAAAAAGACCAATGCAAAATCAAAGATATGGTGACGACAACAAAATTCAGAAATTAATTTTTCTTTGTAACATTACATATATAACAGAGAAAATAATGAACAGAAAGGCCAATTTCGTTGCATCCATTTTGTCCGTCACATTTCACTTGGAGTGAAGCCATCAATAAATCGTTATT